CAGACTGAAGTCAATCTTTGATTCAAATCTCACCTAGCAAAATAACAACTTGTGTTGATTTGAAGGAAATTGGAAATGATGGAAAAAGGAATTTTCTAGATTAATTTTTTAGTATTCTTCCTTTGGACATCTGTGTCTTCTTCACTTGTTTCCAAACTAATAGGCTATTCATTGTTCTTTCATCTAAAGAGAGTAAAATGATGTTGCAATCTGTGCAATCCCATTGATTTCATTAGTACTGCTTCTCATCACGTCATCTGATGCAATATCTTGTCAAGTACTTGTTATCATATCCAGGATAATGGGGTATGTATCTTATTGTTGCTCAGGCGGGCTACTATCTCTTCTTTGGAAATCGTTCTTCTGGCACACTGAGAAGCAACAGTGGAGTACAAATTAGATTGTGGCTTCTTTCTATAATGTTTTGGTATATATTAACTCTCACATGATTTATGTTAACCCAATATTGGTTGTGGCCATTCCCAATAAACTGATTGCTCGGAAAGTGAACTGATCAATTTCCACAATGTCTTTTGCAGCTTCTAACATTGCATCTAAACAGGCATGTTGAAAGAATTTTACATAGTATGGTAGGATATATTTGTAAATTAGATTTTTACTAATTTTTAGAACTATCTTTGCAGTTTACAATCATGGAAGCACTCAATCCAATTTCTGCAGTACAACCTAGCTTATGTTACTTGGACGTTTGCTCAAATCTGCAGGTTATTCTTGTTTCCTCCCTTATTTAAATGTTTCAAGAATTTAATGACAATGTTCATCATCCATGCATTAAACTCATGACAGATAGGAGCTGTCATCAATGTGAAACATTCCTTTTCCTAAAATATATCAGGTCAGGACTTAATCATTGACAGAATAATTTTATGTTTTTTTTTTTTGATAAATAATTTTATGTTTCTTGATTTTCATATTATCAACATTTCCTTTTCCATTATTTAGGGATTGGGTACTTATTAAACTATTGGTGTCTTAGTTGTAGTATCTTTTTCAACCAACATGGAATCTCAAAATGTACTACTCTAGTACGTTTTTGTGTTTAAAAAAGGTTTGGATGATACTGATTCAATGATTATGTATTTATGTCAACTACCAGTTTGACTGAAAAATGAAGGGCTTTCTTTGAGTAAGTTTCCTTTCCTTTTAAGATAGGGTATAATCTGGTGGAGATGTGAAACTTAGTTTGACATTTTTAGATCAGTGTGTTGTGCAGAATGGTGCGTCAATATGGTGAGACTCTGAGGGAAAATTTGTTTGCTTTGACTTGGTACTCCACATCCCAACATTGATAGGAATCACAAGATCAAGCATCAACCATGACATGTATAAGGAATTTTTGGGTCCAAATTACCCATGTTTGTTCTCCATCAGTCTCCCAAGAGAAGAAGTTCCCTCTTCAGAGACTTTATTACTCAAACTGATCCCGTTCCTGTTTACCTTTTTCTATCTTTGGTAAAATCAATCAGCATAGATGCAATTAGTTATGAACTATAAGTGAAATGCCTGCTGATCTTTCACATTTCTATATGAAGCTTTGCAAATCCAAATAACAGAAAAAGGCACTGTCCTTTCGAGTTGTGAAGGATGTTTATAGTTTTATTATCTATTGTCACATCTGGTGAATGGCTAAAGGTTTAACCTCGTTACAGCTTTTAGCAATGCTAATGCTTTCTATGTCCCTAGGAGCAAAATTTCATCTCTTGAAAAAGCATTTGAACAGGAATTTATTGGCTTCTTTTCCGGAATTTACTGGGTTTTTTTCTGCTGGTAAAGTAAACATCCTCCTCTTTCTTTTATTCATGTGCCTAAAGAATTCTTTATTTTCCTCCTTAGGCTCTAAGAAATAACACAACAGGTTTTCTCGTTTCTTTATGCAGGCAAATATGTTCACAGGGCTGGTAAACTTGTTTGTGGGTACTCTGTTTGACTTATCAGTATCAGCCCCTTTTATCCTGATTGTCTATGCTTTGACATTGTCTGTTGTCATTTTAATCATAGATTTTTATGGTGCTAGGTTAAAATTTTGGTAGGTTGACCCTTATTTTGCTGTGCAAAATGTTTTTTGAAAGCTATAATTAAATAATCTGGTTTTGTTGTGCATTTGAAACAAATTGTCTTCAAAACAGCTTAAATAGAGGAATCTAACCTCAATTGCATTTTTAAGCATGAAGATATATATATATATATATATATATATAACGTAATGTAATGTAATGCTTGCAGCTATGAAATAGGGATATGAATATAGGACATAGGGTAAACATATGGATACGTAGTGATAGGATAATTTAAAAGGAGGGACACTTCGATATCACCATCCTTTTAGATTGTTAGTTGTCATTTCTAGCATTAACTGTTTATCACTTCTCCTGTTGTTATTATAGATTACTTGCATGAACTGTTTTTTTTCCTCAATGTTAAGGTATTTATATATATATATAAATATATATATATTTCTCGTAAAGAAACTCTATTCAAATACAATACATGTTGGCATAAGGTTTTTCTTAGAAGTCTTTATGCTACTAAGGCTCATCCATTTATATGAGGCTAGTCTGGTTATGGCCCCTTAAAGACCAAGGAAATATCAGCACGCCCATGATCATGCACATGCATGTATGTGTGATGTTGTGCATATGCCCATTTGGCACATTTCAATGGATAAATAACAATCTACAACTCAGAGTATGGATGGCTATCGTATGTAGTTTTGGAGTTTCTGAGGTGTAAATATTGACATTTTGTTTGTACAAAAGAACAATACTAGAGAGAGAGGAAAAGCTTAAACTATCAGTATGAAATATGACAAGGGAAGGGGAAAAGGTAAAAACCTGCAAAAATGGGGTAGAAATTAGGTTGTGGAAGATCGCCAAAATGTGTTGTACTTTGGTGTAGGAAGCTGACGGTCACATGGATTAACCTGCAATATGTCTGACATATGGACCATCAGTTCTCTTCACGCGACAGTTCCCTATGTTTCTTTGTCTCTCTCGTTGTCTATCGTTCACAAGCTCTTTATGCAATCTTACATCTTTATTACTTTTGAAAATAATATTACATCTGTATTATTATATACGTTTATATACGAATTTGTATTTATGTTTTTAATAAAAAAATTGACATATATAGCTGGCAAAGTAGGACAATTGGTAAACTAGAAGTAGCAAATAGCAATGACTCGACATTTTTCTTATGCTTTTTTAAATTCTAACACGGAAAAATCTAAAAGCACCGCTATTGGCGTGTGTTTAAAATATTTTTAGGGTAGATTGAGACTTTTTTTTTCCCTAACTGTGTTTTGGTGTGGTTTTAATTCTTGTACTAAAGCCATACTTTCTGTAATTTGGACTCTGATAGCTAGCATTATATACCAAGAGAGTAATCCAATCAAATATGATTTGAATCTGCATGTTTTCAGGTTTGGCCGCAAAGTTACAATTCCATTAAGGCTCTATAATGACAAGCTATATAATAAGCAAAATTTTAAGTACATCAGCAATCATTATTTATAAATATGTCTGTTGGCAATTCTTTTTTTCTAGGGCTTCATTATTACTCAAAAGATTTTCGGGCAGATGTTAGTTTTTCGTGCATTTTCCTTCTTTTTTTACGAGATTCCTTACTGTTTTTCATAAAGCGAATTTTTTTCTTGATGGATTTTGGTATATATTTTGGACTATACATTGGACTGTAGTTTGTCGATGCCTTGTTTGTGGCCAATGTCAGTAACTAATTCAGTACTAATCTTTCTATAATTATTTTATGGTTATCTTTTGTACTGAACTTTGAGTAATTAAATATATTCAAATATATACATTATTATTCTTTTTTCTATTAATAATTGTTTTTGGTGCATTTGAACATAGTTGATACAGAAGAGAGAATTTGAATTTAGATTTTAATCCTTTAAACTGCAGCCTTTTCAAATTAATTAATTAAGGAAGGGGGAGGGGATGCACGGGAGGCTAAATGGCTACTCCTTCGTGTCTCGTGAAGCTTCGTTTCATGGATTTCAGATCACCTTCAAAAAGCTGGGTCGATAACTGACATCACGGTGGGGGATGCTTCCGGTAGTGATCATGAAAGTGCTGAAAATTTCACTTTAATAACTGTCATATGTCTTTTTAACCTAAGCCTAATATGTTTGCATCTTAAATAATAGCCTACCCCACTGATTCTCACATATTCGTTTATTTGCATTTTTTTATCATTGGCAAGTTAAATGATAAAGGCCTAGGTAAAATCCAATTTCCATGAAAACAAGCTAGAAAATTCAGGAAAAGAAAATTGCCAACTAAGCTGCAGAAAATGGGTTGTCAATCACACGTTAAGCTTTCCTTGTAAAATAATGTGTATGAGAATCTAGCGCAAGTGAGCCAGTCGTTTTTCCCTGCAAAATTTAACACAGACTTGAATATGAATAGTAACCTTTTTTTAGTTACATCAAAAAAATAAAATTTTAATACAAATAAAAAAAAAGTTTAGTTCAAAATCAAACCTTTAATGTTTTTTTAAATGTCTTAAACCATTAAATTAAAAGTGTGAGTACTAATGTAAATAGCAACTGTAACCCAGCTTCTTGTGTTGTTGGTATGCATATTTCTATATAGATTTGGGCCCCACACACACTCTCCGTTGCAGAGGCTGTGCTAGTGTTTACAGCGTCTATGAAATCGGGAAGACAAACCCCAAAACGAGGCCAAGGGAAAAGCCTCTTTCTTTTTTCGTCACTTTTTCGCTGGCAAAAAAGAGAACTCCTTTTCCCTGTCCCTCCCACGTCCATATCTTTCTCTCTAGCCCAAAGCCCCAGCTCCTAACTTCATTTAACCTCCTTTTAATTAGCCCCTCTCTCTCTCTCTCTCTCTCTCTCTCTCTCTCTCTCTCTCTCTCTCTCTCTCTCTCTTTTAAGAAGATTTCAAGTGCCGGGGTTATGTTAGAAAGTGACTTTTGTCTATAAAATGAAACTAGAATTTCTAGTTTCCAGTATTTCATGTCATATTATTTGGAGGTGTACTTTGTGGAGATTGTAGAGAAAATGGCACTTGAAACCCTTTCTTCCAACGAGCTCTTGAACTTTGTTATCTATGATACCATATCTGGAACCCCATATAGCAGCCATGACTCATTGGTGACTAAATGCTCGTTGGAAAATAGTTTCAGCTACCAAGAACAAGCTAGTAGTGCTTTGAATTGCTTGTCAATGATGACTCCACAATGCCACTCAACAGGAGCGGAAACTGTTGATCGGAGGCCGAACTTGGCAGCTCAAGGGAGGAAAAAGAGAAGGAGAAAAGCGAGGGTTTGCAAGGACAAAGAGGAGGCTGAGACACAAAGAATGACTCACATTGCTGTTGAGAGGAACAGGCGAAAGCAAATGAATGAGCATCTGGCTGTTTTACGCTCCCTTATGCCTGAATCTTATGTCCATAGGGTTTGTCTTCTCCATCATTTTCTTTTATCTCTCTTTCCTCTCTTCTTCTCTCCTCAAATGTGTGGGAAAACGAGAATTATTACTCTTCTGGTTAAGACTAAAAGGGTCGTCGCTCCATTCAAACTCTAGACAAGAGACAACATTCAGTGTTTGGCTATATTAGGAAAACCTGGTTATGAAGTGTCTTAACATAACTGGATTGTTGAAACATGCATAGTTCATGACTTTGGAATGTTTTCTTTTTTTCTGTTAGCTACACTACATTACCATATTTTATTGATCAATTACAGAATCCTTTACTTCTAGAGGAATCGTTACTTCAAGGTTTAACTAATTGATATACTCGAGTGGTAAAATTGTGATGTGATTCACTACAGCTCTGAAAAGCTGGACTGATTGAATTCTGAAGTTCAATAATAGTTTGGTACAATGACATTGCAGCGAAATTTAAATTTAGCAGAACTTGTCAAGGTAAAAAGATCAGGCAGAATTGGCAAATATTAAAATAATTCTATTCTTAGCTTCTTCTATTCTTTGGATTACTCTCTTGTTTGCTAGTCATGCAAAAGTTCTAAAATTATGGAAATAGTAATTATATAAAGATATTGCCAAAGAGACCAGCTTTTTCCTGTATTATGACTTAAATAGAAATTTACTTCAGCAGAATCATGATACGAACTCATGGTTCCTTTAATTTGCAGTACTTTCAATATTCTCATCCCCATAGCAGTGCAAGCGTTTAAAAAATTTAATTAATTTAACCCTTAAACATAGATGATTTTTGTATGTGTAGGGTGATCAAGCATCCATAGTTGGTGGAGCTATAGAGTTTGTGAAGGAACTTGAGCATCTTCTGCAAACCCTTGAAGCTCAAAAGCTTCGAGTACTGCATCAAGTAAGACCAGCTGATGCCAATGAATTAGAAACCACCAACTCCATATTGCTATCACCACCATTTCCACAATTTTTCATGTATCCTCAGTACACCTGGTCTCAGATCCCTAATAAATATACATCAAAGACTAAGGCATCAATAGCTGATATTGAGGTGACATTGATCGAAACTCATGCTAATCTCCGAATTCTCTCACGAAAAGGTCCCAGGCTGCTTTCCAAGATTGTTACTGGTTTTGAGTCACTTTACCTTTCCATCCTCCACCTAAATGTCATAACCGTGGATCCATTAGTTCTCTACTCTATCAGTGCCAAGGTAACATATGCACTTCTTTCTCCATCACCTTCATCTTTCTTTTTAAGAAAAATACCTTTTCCCCCTAATAATCATGGGATGACAATATATCTCTTTAGAATTTCAGAACTCATAGTAAAATCACTCAGTTACATATGTATTTTATCCAAATAATTAAATATATAAAATAATAAATTCAAAAAAGTGATATAGTATGTTTAGTCAATGGATATTTTTGGTTCCTTAATTAATATTTTAGCAAATATAATAATTTATATGTATGATTTCTTAGAATAATAAGTTACAGGAGTAGTGTTTCAGACATTCTATTAGAGATGGTCGTCTTCAATTATTGTCATATGAGGTGAGTGGGCAGATACTGTCTTTTCCTCTCATATATACTTTTGTTTTTCCCTTGGAAAGGAAAAAAAAATTGTCATTTTCCATAATTTCAGAAAAGTTAAATAAATTTTGGATGACCTTTTGAAGTTATAGTAGTACTGGCTTAAATTATTTTTTTATGGGAAAAATGGGAGGAAGATTGCTTTTTCTCATTTATTATTACTATTTCCTTGGTTTAGTTAATAATTTTCGATATAATTCTAGAAAATCATACAGTTTTGGGCTAAAATTTGAAACATTCTGAATGCAGGTTGAAGAAGGATGCCAACTCAGTTCAGTAGATGACATAGCAGGGGCAGTTCACCACATGCTCGGAATAATTGAGGAAGATGCTACTGCCTTATGTTGATCAACTTTGTGCTAGCTACCCAAATTACTTTTTGGTTTATGGTCAAATCACCAAAAAGCTACCACTTTTTTCTTTATTTTTTAGGGTCTTTTTAGAGGATTGTTTAAAGTTTCTGTATTTTAGTTTTTACCGTTCCTGTATGTACGTTGCTTGAGTCAATGAAATGTGGTGTGTTTTGATGTTCATCTAGTAAATGAAGTATGGATGTTTAGTATTGGGTGTGTTTGAACTATAAACTTTGTTACTACTTTCTTTTTCTTTAAATGTCAATTGGATCGATGTGAAGATATTGAGGTCTCATGCATGCATGGATGCATGCTTAACATGCTTTGTTTTGCATATGAACCTACCGGCATATGCCTCTCAGGTCTCCAAATTAACCACAGTTCTTGATTCTTGTATGGCTTTTCACACAAGACATTTCCCAATTAGTCCCCTAATTAAGAAAATCCAACAACGTACAAGCACTTGATTAGCCGGTTAATGCATCTCATCTCTCTCTTCTTATAGAAGCCAAATCTTCGTTTCAGTTGGGTTTTGATGATGAAGAAATATTGAAGGGTGACATTGCAGAATTTGGTGCAAGGGCCCTGGAAGGGAATTGGAAAAAAAGGATGGTTTTTTTTTTTTGTAGCTTTACGGGAGAAAAAGCTGAGAGAATTAGAGAGGGTTTTTGTGAGATTCGATGCACATCTCCTTTAAGCCTTAATTTTTGTTTCTTGTGAAACATGAATCTGTACCTTATTTAAGAATCCTGTCTTGTTGTGTAAACCAGACAGGGACGTCGGATGAATCTTGACGTCTCTTTTAGTTTCTGAATCCAGGAGCCAAAAATATATATTTACATTAATTCAGTCGGCAAAAGAAACAGACTAATTACATTACTGAAATTTTGGTGCTAAATTTTCGTACAAAATTACAGATCGACTCACCGATTACCTTTCAAGTTAACATGTCCAGAAGGGGTGGCCCATGTTCTCTGAATGTCTCTATATTGGATGCGACACAACATTAATATAAGTTTTTGTAGATGGCATATATACACAGTGTTTTTCATGCGTTTCCTCCAAATGTTAACTTCGATCATGAACTATGTTCGTAACAAAATAGTGTATTTGATTTTTGAGGATGTTGGTCTATTTGATATTAGATTAAACATTAATGAGTCATTGGTAAAATAAAATTGATATTTTAATAAACTTGATTAACAATAGAGTTGGTAGAATTTCAGACAACACTATGCTCTTATTTAAGGAAGTTGGTACAATTTTTCTTCACACCCATATTGTTTATTACAAAAATATAGTCTTATGAAATTACTTAATTAACTTGTGAAAAATTACATTTATCCCTTTTTGCACACTCATTTCCATTTTAAAAGCTTACGAAAATGTAAATTTGTAAGCTTTTAAAAGCTTACATATATACATTTTCGTAAGTTTTTAAAGGATTAAAAAAATAAAAATTCATAAACCTTTTGAAATGTAAGAAAAAACATTTTCGCCATTCATGATTTCAAGCACAAAAGTCCAATGCATCATATTTTAGCTTTCAAAATTTTAATAAAAATAAAAGGTTTACCTTTATATTGAAATTGAGTAACTAGATTAAATCCAAAAATTGTAATTGTAGGGTTTGATTGAAGATTTTAAGTTTGATTTTGGTTTAAAGTTTGAACGGAAAGGAGGAAGGAGAAGGAGACGAGGAAAATGGGTGTGAAAGATTTTTTAGTAGAAGAAGAATAATATTTGTGGAATGTAAAAGATAAAAATTAAGGATTATATTTTAAATTTTGGATATAAATAAAAATGTGGTGTATTGAGAAAAAATTCAAGTGCAAATGGTCCACATGTAATTTGTCATTCATCATCTGCCATTGCAAAATGCGATTACCATTTTGCTACTCTGCTAGTCATGTTTAAATATTGCACGTAATCAACACATTATCTATGTATATGAGCATGTTCATATCATGCCAAATGAAACATACTGCAAACAGGACTCAATAATCAAACAAAAAAAAACACAAGACAGAGAAAGAGAGAGAGAAACAAAAAAAAAGAAGGGAAAAGCCTATTCCTTGGTCCATAACCTGCCCTATTGGACCGAAGCTTTTGTAATTGTGGGGCAGAACAGACGGAGACAAATGTTCTTGAACCCATTGTCTTATCGGACTTCGTCTAGTCTGAACTGGGCTGTTTAAATATTACCCAGAGCCCCTCTTTTTGTTTAATTAATACACAATCCGAAAAAAATGGGCTGTTTTTTTGGCCAATAAAGAAAATGGGCTGTTTAAATATTACCCAGAGCCCCTCTTTTTCAGTCTCAATACAGGCTTTCAACTAAGAATGCGATCATATTCATGCATGGAAATTCCCTCTAGACGTGACCATAACAGTGAAATCAACTTAGCAAAGATTTCAGCTTTGATGCTTCAAATTCTAAATGGCATGTTCTAAGTTTACGTTCCTTTCACACCCAAATTAATTAGGGTTTGGTAAAAAAATATCGTTGTATCTCCATGACTAGATGCCACATCAGATTTTTACCCTCCCAGACCCAATCCCACTCAGAAAAAGATAAGATATCCACGTCAATTTGAATCAGCCAAAGATAAAATTGTATAGTTAGGAAATCTGGTCAGGACTTAAGATAGAAGCCACATAAATTTTGGAGAGAACTTTGCCTAATTTGCTGGGTACAGATTTTTTTGAATTAAAAACTTGTCAAAATTATTCTAATTTTAAGGATTAATTTTGTAGTAAATGGAAAGCAAGATTATCAGTTAAGGGCTCTAGATCTTCTAAAACATCTTGACAAGGACTCTTCTATTTGCTACAAAATCCTATCCTATAAGTCTCATTTGTCCCAACAGTTCTTTGGTTTCTCTTGATTTTCTCAACTTACCTTGGTAATTGCAGTGAAGATGACTATTTGCATTGAGAATCCTGATCAACTTATTGGTATTTGATCTGCTTTTCATTTCAGATTCAATGTTGATTATTTGTTTCAATCTTAGCATATGCATTATTTGGTTTTCAGCTACTCAAGGAAAGGGAAAGAAGATACAGCCTGATGCTAATCAATTGGTATCAAATGAAGAATTTGCAACGCCTGAAACAAATGCTTTTGGAAACTCATTCAGGTAAATCATTTTCTCTACAGGTTTGTATTTTGGATATTGAATATTTTCCTAGAATATATCTGATTAAAATACTCAATATTTGGTGAAATGGTTGATAGGGATTATGAAGCAGATGGTGCAAGGAAAGACATTGTTGAGCAACACTACAAATCAAGTCATATTAACCAAACATATGATTTTGTAAGTAAATTTTTATATAAGGAATCATCCATGGTGTAAGTTACTGTTTGGACATTCTAATGCATTACAAAATGAAATATTGCAGGTGAAGCAGATGAGGGAGGAGTACAAGAAGCTTGATAAGGCAGAGATGGGAATATGGGAATGTTGTGAACTTCTGAATGAGGTTGTTGATGACAGTGATCCTGATTTGGACGAACCTCAAATTCAGCATTTGCTGCAGAGCGCTGAAGCAATCAGAAGAGACTATCCTAATGAAGACTGGTTGTACCTGACTGCTCTTATTCATGGTAAAAATAAAAACCCCTTACAATATTCTTTCTTTGCCTTGTTATCTTGTAATGATAAAATTACAATAATTAACTTATTGAGTTTCAATGCTTTTCAGATCTTGGAAAAATCCTGGTTCTTCCAAAATTTGGAGAGCTACCTCAATGGGCTGTTGTTGGTAAGTATTTGTTTCAAAAAATAAAAATAAAAAAGTTCCATATTTCCTCATATAATTTTAAGTGACAAGTTAATTTCAATATAACAGGTGACACATTCCCAGTTGGATGTGCTTTTGATGAGTCCAATGTTCATCACATGGTTTTTAAATCTTAGCTTTGATCTTTAATCATTTACCAATTAAACATAATTGTGTTATATATATACGATCTTAACTCAAGATGAATTTGCAATTCACAAATTCTGTGCTGCAGTATTTTAATGATAATCCTGACTTCAACAATCCAATTTACAACACCAAAAATGGGATTTACTCTGAAGGGTGTGGACTAGATAATGTGCTCATGTCATGGGGGCACGATGACTATATGTACATGGTATACATTTGACTCGATCAATCAATCAATCCCTCCAAACTAAAGTCACTTAAATCTAGTCCATATTGTTTCTTGCCACAAGTTTTAGTTAATACTATATCATCTATCTCATAATTTTTAGGTGGCCAAGGAAAATGGAACCACATTGCCTTCTGCAGGACTGTTCATCATCCGATATCATTCCTTCTATCGTGAGTAATTAGAATGAAACTTATTTTTTTTCTGATCATGCTATGCTACTACTCAATTTGGCTAACGGAATCGATTTCCTTCCCATCTTTACAGCATTGCACAAGTACGGAGCATATGCACAATTGATGAATAAGGAGGATAGGGAGAACATGAAATGGCTTAAAGTATTCAAGTAAGTGTCCTCGTATTCCTTTTTTTCAAGTTGCTATATTAATTTTTGTGCAATTGTTTTGTGAAAACTTATTGACTTTCTTTTCATAAAATCTTGACAGCAAATATGACCTCTACAGCAAGAGCAAAGTTCTGGTTGATGTTGAAGAGGTCAAGCCATATTATGAATCCCTTATTGCAAAGGTAAGCTCATCATTCCCTTTTTTTGCCTTAATGGTTCTGCACTCAAGATTTCAAAGTTGATTAATTTTTCTGAATTGAACAAAAAAAAATTTGCAGTATTTTCCAGCAAAGCTGAAATGGTGAAACTTCAAAGCCTCAATACAGGATTGCTGCAGCTGCAATATTAATGTAGTCCTGACTCCTGATCTGAAGAGAAGTCACTGGGACGACTAGGGGAAATAAAATGTTAATAATCAAAGAACTGTTTGTGTGTTTTAACAAGATTCTTGAATTCTTAGATTTGCTATGTTCGTATTCTCTTTTCAAAATTAATAAAGTTACAAATTTTATTCCTTTTTGCCCCATATCAAAAACAGAAGATCAACTGAACTTCAAATCAGATAAATTAATTCAATTATGTTAAATCGTTAATATGTTATCTCCTATGATGCAATAAGGCATAAGCATGTGAGATTTGGCTGAGACGAGATCAAAGTTGCAAGCAAGAAAAAAAGCCAAAAGGCAGCACGGAAAGCAAAATAAAAACACAATCTTTGCAGAGTTAAAAGGCTAAAGGCATGTGAGACATATAACTGTCTTCTTTCTGCTAATAGAATGTTCTTTTTCTTTTCTTTTTCCTTGGTAAATACTACAAAAGTTGTGGAGAACTAATCACTTTTTGTTTCTTTTTCTTCCCATATCCTGTACAAGGGATTCCTATTCAAAAAGTGGTACTCAATGTGATTAGACTTGAAGAACAAAAACTGTTATCAATTTGCTTTACATACTAGCTTTCATGGATCCAGGGCAAAGAACAAAATCTTGTAGGGTTGAATGACAGAAGCTGTGTTCCATGTACCCATTTATTCTACACGTATATCTTTACTCGAGGCAATTCCCTTTTCTTTTCATTATTAGATCTCCAATCAATACCCAGATAGTCTTCAGGCTGAATAATTTTCTTAACAAAATGGCATTAAGCAACAATGTCATCGGTGCAATCAACTTTGTTCCTATGCTGCTCTCAATTCCAATCATTGGTGGTGGAATCTGGCTTGCAAATCAACTAGACAATTCCTGTGTGAAGATATTACAATGGCCTGCTATAGTTTTTGGGGGTCTTAATCTTGTTTGTAGCTCTCGAGGCTTCATAGGAGGGTTTTGGCGAATCCGCTGGTTCCTTATTGCGTACCTTGTTGGCATGCTCATCCTGATCATATTGCTTGCAATCTTGGTTGTTTTCATCTATTGGTTACCATAAAAGGCAAAAAAGAATTCGGCATGCTTGGTAAGGTAATTAGATTCTCCAACCATGGGTTAATCTTCTTTTCCAGACTAGTCTCATCATTATATTTATGTTTTTATTTGTTTTGGAGTCTGGACGCTGTAAGCCACCAAATGAATGTGGATACACGTTTGCAAACCCAACAAACTGGATCAGCCCCATTAACAGCATAGCAGACCCAGACTGCATACAGTGGAACAATGACCAAACGCAAATCTGCTACGATTGCAATTCGTGCAAAGCGGGATAGCTTGCAAATCTGAAGCAAGAATGGAGAAAAGCCGACGTAATACTGCTTATAACTCTTATTGCGTTGATATTTGTATATCTGATTGGGTGTTGTGCCTTTAAGAATGCCAAAACTGAGGAGATTTTTAGAAGATACAAACAAGGTTATAAGTGAAAACTGGTTAATTGCAAGATACTAATGTCACGGACCTAAAGAGGAGTCCTGAATCTCACATCGAACATAATAAGAGGGTCACTGGGGTATAAAAGGGTTCACACCATCTCCGCCTTGTGAGGCGCCTTTTGTAGGACAAAATCGTGAGGCCACGGGAGTCAGAGCGGACAATACCTCACAAGGGTGTGAACCGTGGCAGATAGGCTGATCCGGGACGTCGGAAGGGTGAATACCCTGGTCCCGGAGCCGCGCGGGTTCGGAGCTTAAGTCTCGACCCGTGACAAGTGGTATCAGAGCCAACCCTATACCGTTCGATCCACGCCGAGCACCTCAAAAGGAGGCAGGCAGGGTGGCCAGCCTCCGTGACGAGGGCGTCACGAGGTTGGGTGCGGGAGAATGTCACGGACCTAAGGAGGAGTCCTGAATCTCACATCGAACATAATAGGAGGGTCACTGGGGTATAAAAGGGTTCACACCATCTCCGCCTTGTGAGGCGTCTTTTGTAGGATAAAACCGTGAGGCCACGGGGGCCAGAGCGGACAATACCTCATATGAGTGTGAACCGTGGCAGATAGGCTGATCCGGGACGCCGGAAGGGTGAATGCCCGGGTCCCGAAGCCGCGCGAATTCGTAGCTTAAGTCTCGACCCGTGACACTAGTCCCGAGACAAGTGAAGAAGAATTTGGGCTGGGCTTCCTCGTTTCATCACAAACCTGACCCCAACTCAACTCAGTCTCGACTAGCGAGAGGAGATTGGGCCTTCCGGCCTTCCTCACAAACTCGAACCCTACTCAAAGTCAACCCAACAACTAACTGCCCAAAACTGGAAAAAAGGATCTATGACCCATTATTATTTGCAATACTGAGCGGATCTAAAACTAGCCCAACCTCCATGGCTCTGAAACCCTAGTGCTCAAAAACATCTCCATACAGAGTATCTTCTCTTTCACTTCTTAGATTCAGTAGAAAAATACAAAAAAGCCGAATGTCTGCAACTTTTCCGAGTAAGATTGTCTACTTTACATGGACGAAAGCAATAATTTTATGTTCTGTTTCGCTCATTGTCTGAAGCCAAGGGAACAACAAGTATTCCCAACGGTGGAGCATTTGCTGGATAGTTTGTTGTTAAGTGTTCCTCGTTCGTACGTGGTAGCCAGATCGCATGATAAGCCAGGGAAATTTCCTCGCCACAATTTGAACTTCACGCGTAAGTTTGCGGGGGGTTGGTTTGGAAGGATGGGACTTTTTTGCAGTGGATCACTAATAGTCTCAAATTTTAAAGGCTTCTTAATGCAAAATAAACAATGGTAAAGAAGAATCATGAGTTCATCACTGAAATGAACATGCTAGTTGAAGTTTAAAAGTATTACCCCATCTTCTTCCAACAATTTTCAGGTCAAAAATATAATGTGGATGTAAATAAACGCTGGCTTAAATTGAACACGAATGCGGATACGAAGTTTTCATGCCCTCAAAATTGAAATAAGCATAGGTTTTAAAATCATTTTTGTTCAAGATGTGACCATACATGCTCAAGACTGTAAGATATTTTGTTTTATTTTTTATTTTTTAAAAATATTTAGACTCGGTGTATATCCAATGAACATAAATATAAATGTTGATCATGAAAATATAAGGAAAAAACTTTTTTAAAAAATAATGTACCATGTCGAGTATATACTCAAATCCAACACTCAATTTTAGTCCAAATTAAATAACATTGTCTGCAAAAATTAGAATAAAATCCACTCATAACATTTACCAGTGCTCTAAGCCAGAAATTTGATTCTTCACAATATTATTAAGGGAAAGTTTTGTTTTGGCTGTATGCCACATGATTTGAATCTCATATCAAATGTATAATATATTTAAAGTTAATTACCAGAGTAATACTTAACCCATGGTAAATACGTGTGCCATATATGAAAAGCGGTGTCTGACTTGTCTTTTTGTCAGCCTAAAAGATCCCCGCTTGACATAGCATTTTTCTTGGACTTTCAACTTTCATAAATTTTAAAGCCTTCCTCTTCCTATCTATGAAACTTCATCCAATTCAACAAATTATTTTCATTTCTTCAATTCTTGACAGCCCATTTTTTCATTTGAACATAAATAATGACAATCGAGTTTGGTCTTGAAAGAATGGGTTATTTTAATTTCATAAAATTAGTTGAAATTTAAATATGCTCATTTTATTACCGCTTTTCTCGTGATTCAAATGATTTTTTTTTTTTTTATAATTGGAACAAATTGAAATATTTGTGATTGATTTCAATCAATTCTAGCATTTTGGTGAAACAAGATTGATCGCTGAATCACTCTACATATTAGTATGCATTTGATTTAAGCTAGCCAGAATAGATTTTGATAAGAGTTTGAGTTTCAAGACTAATTAGTGGTATCTCTTCAAATTTAATCTCATAGGCGAGCGTTGTTTTACTTGTATATACTGTAAGTAAACCATACAATCTTCATATTTCCATAAGCATCAAGATTTTTTTGGATTTTTTTCTGTTCTGGTAAGATTTCATGCCTGAACAAACGGATTATGTTTAAATAACTAGTTTTATGGAGCTTTCAAGAGTACCATTGAATCTGTAAACCAGTTTTGACTTTAGATAAACTAATTTAAGTCAGAGTTGACTTTTTTTTGCTTTCTGAAATCTGAATTAATTGTTCTAGCGTCAAAACAGCACTTCTGCTGACCAGTCTCCTCAGCAGGCAATATTGGATAGGCTTTCAAACGATGGCTCTTCCAAGCAATATTGATTAAAGCCAACTCAAAATTAACCAGAAGAAATATATCTTCTTGGCCACGAAAATGATATTGATATCCTACTTTCTATTAAATACATTTGGAATTGAACTTAGGCAATGATGTCAAAGTGAAATTATTGGCATTAATTACAAGAAATTGAATTGTCTACAACAGGCTGTGTTTAGAAACCGATGTTAACTATAAAATAACCAGGGCTTGAAAGGGACAAGCACCATAAATTCACAAACACAGGTTTGGCTTACCTAAATCAAGTTGTTTAACGTTAAAATTGACAAATATCTTAATCAAGATTCTCAAATTATCTTAAATTCAAGTGGGACAATTTATGGGCGGATGACTCTTGCAGCCTCTTGTTGGTTATTTATTGCCAGTACCCTAACACTATCCAATAATATCCCAAGTGCCTCAACAAAAACTAAAAGCCATCCAAATCCAGATATTAAACTCACTCAACTGTTCCTCAAAATCATATATATACAAAACTAAAGTAGTTTTCATTTAGAGGGGAGTTCCCTCCAAGTTGTGTTCTATACCTGATTATTGAAAAAAAAGTGACTCCAATCCCAGACGCTGTACTTGGGGCAGATATGTTGGGTTGCATCACGTAATTTTTAACGACTTCGGCATTTCATAAAGGGGCTTGTCATCAGCATGTCTAGTATTCGTTCTTATCCACTTAAGGGCTTAACCAAAATACTATTTAAAAAAAAAAAAAATCTACTTGGCCCATCTGTTGCATGGATGGACACCTACAAACAATCTCTTAATCTGTCCACGAGGAAATGCAAATCTGTCG